ATAATAAATATAACATTGTAAATTAATGGTATTTCAATAAATTATTTAAATTCCTTACCTGTCTTAAACCTCAGCTATCATATTCAAGATCACATTCTTCTTATGTCCTTCTACCTTATTTTTTCTCTTGTGACAATCTCTTACATATAAATCCTCTGTAAAATTAACTTTTTAGTATGTTTCTCTTAAATTTTACCTAATTTCCTTTCTTAAAGCCCTATGCCTTACTTCCAGTATAAATCCACTTTGGTTCCCCAAGAGACAGGCACTGCCCTGACCACTAGGGTAACTAAGACAGGGAAATCCCTGAATCTTAGAGTGAAGTGGGAATAAAGATAAAAATTAATATATTTTTTGAGGAGGGAGGGGGCTGTCCAATATATAAATTGCACTCCCACGTTTGGGAAATGCCCTACTCTTGGAGACTTATAGACACAAAAGGGACATATATTTGCTTTCCCAGCCTGCCTTTCAAGGAGATTGCTTGGGGCACTTCAGTTCAACATGTCCAGTCAGATGCACTAGACTCAGATTTCAGATGGGGGACTAGTGACTCGAGGATGCAGGAGGTGGAGCAGCAGCATCACCTTCCTCAGTGGCAGCAGGGACATCTCGCAGCACTGTTTCTTTGTGATGACACAGGCTGCTGTCAGCCTCCTTGCTTTTGTGTGTTTTCTGGGCCTGATTATTTAGCTGTCTTAGTAATACTATAAGATTTCTAATCCCGTAAAGAGATATTATCTGAGCTACAGAACAGAAAGGGGCATTCTTATACTTTCTAACACAAACAATAATGTACTAAATACGTCTTGACTGTTACAACATAGCACTTAATTTTAGTTCTTTTCCTCTAGATTTAACAAAAAAAATGTTAATCTTTGGAGGGTTAAACTTAGGAATGGCTATGTATTTTTCTCGTTGACAGAAACAACTGCTATTTTAATTGGTTTATAACTGGTGATAATTCATACCAATTTCCCCTTGTGGAATGGTGTCAGGCTGTCATCCCACCTTGTTTTACCAGCACAATTTGTCATATATAATTGTTACAGAATCTCCACTCCGGAATTCATGCTTAAATGTGGCCTAAAACACACACGTACACATGCGCACATTAATTCAGTAAATTAATACTCTATGACTATGTAGACTATATGTCTATATGACTAATGTAGACACATTTTAATCTTTATTGGCTTTATATCTGAAAGTCCATGCATTTGTTTGATAAACCCTTAGCGACTGCATCCTGTGCCAGGCACTAGGGTTACATCAGTGAACATACTGAGAAAGCTTCTTGTTCTCATGAAGACCATCTCCTAGAGAAAGAATCAGACAATATGCAGAAAACTTAAAAACTAATTATAATTATTAATAATAATTTCATATAATTATAAGTAAAAAAATGTTATGAAGAAGCACTTGCAGAAAATGGTTAATGGGAAAAGAATGATTGGGAAAGACTAGTCTACCTTTGAAGCAACAGGAAAAATTTCCTAAAGTGTTAAGATTTATACTGAGCAGTGAATGATAGAGAAGCTTCTTGAACAAGTAATGTAAAAATTGCACTTCAGAAGAAAGAAAATACAAATGTCTGATGAGGGAATATTCTTGATATTACTATATCAAGTATATATATACAATATATAGTATATATACTATATATATACTATATATATACAATATACTATACAAGAAATAGTACTGAGACTAAACTAGGGAACCCTTGTGTATTATTGGTGAAAATGTAATTGATATATCTACTGTAGAAAGCTCCTTTCGGCCACCGTCCCTGACCTTGGACGTGGGGCAGCAGTGGCCACAGGACTGGAAAAGGTCAATTTTCATTCGAATCCCAAAGAAAGGCAATGCCAAAGAGTGCTCAAACTACTGCACAATTGCACTCATTTCACACGCTAGTAAAGAAATGCTCAAAATTCTCCAAGTCAGGCTTCAACAATACATGAAGTGTGAACTTCCAGATGGTCAAGCTCGTTTTAGAAAAGGCAGAAGAACCAGAGAAATTGCCAACATCCACAGGATCATTGAAAAAGCAAGGGAGCTCCAGAAAAACATCTATTTCTGCTTTATTGACTATGCCAAAGCCTTTGACTGTGTGGGTCACAATAAACTGAAATTCTTCAAGAGATGGGAATACCAGACCACTTGACCTGCCTCTTGAGAAACCTGTATGCAGGTCAGGAAGCAACAGTTAGAACTGGACATGGAACAACAGACTGGTTCCAAATAGGAAAAGGAGTACGTCAAGGCTATATATTGTCACCCTGCTTATTTAACTTATATGCAGAGTACATCATGAGAAACGCTGGGCTGGAAGAAGCACAAGCTGGAATCAAGATTGCCAGGAGAAATATCAATCACCTCAGATATGCAGATGACACCACCCTTATGGCAGAAAGTGAAGAGGAACTAAAGAGTCTCTTGATGAAAGTGAAAGAGATGAGTGAAAAAGTTGGCTTAAAGCTCAACATTCAGAAAACTAAGATCATGGCATCCGGTCCCATCACTTCATGGCAGATAGATGGGGAACCAGTGGAAACAGTGGCTGACTGCTTTTCTGGGCTCCAAAATCACTGCAGATGGTGATTGCAGCCATGAAATTAAAAGACACTTACTCCTTGGAAGGAAAGTTATGACCAACCTAGACAGCATATTAAAAACCAGAGACATTACTTTGTCAACAAAGGTCCATCTAGTCAAGGCTATGGTTTTTCCAGTAGCCATATATGGATGTGAGAGTTGGACTATAAAGAAAGCGGAGAGCCGAAAAATTGATGCTTTTGAACTGCGGTGTTGGAGAAGACTCTTGAGAGTCCCATGGGCTGCAAGGAGATCCAATCAGCCCATCCTAAAGGAGATCAGTCCTGGGTGTTCATTGGAAGGACTGATGTTGAAGCTGAAACTCCAATACTTTGGCCACCTGATGGGAAGAACTGACTCATTTGAAAAGACCCTGATGCTGGGAAAGATTGAGGGCAGGAGGAGAAGGGGACGACAGAGGGTGAGATGGTTGGATGGCATCACCGACTCAATGGACATGGGTTTGGGTGGACTCCGGGAGTTGGTGATGGACAGGGAGTCCTGGCATGCTGCAGTTCATGGGGTCGCAAAGAGTCAGACAGGACTGAGTGACTGAACTGAACTGAACTATAGAATAGAAAAAATTAAATATATGAGGATTCTTCAAAAAATTGAAAGCAGAATTGTCAGATGACCAGATAGTCTACTTCTGGGTATTTATGTGAAGCAAATAAAAACAGTGACTTGAAAAAGACCTATGCACCCCCATGATCACTATAGAATTATTTATAATAGCCAACATATGGAAACCTGTATCCATTGATAAATGAACAAATAAAGAGAATGTTATGTATATAATTATATAGAGAGATAGAAAATGGGAAATGGAACACTCTTTAGCCATGAAAAGGAAAATTTTGTCATTTGCTATAAACTGCATGGACTTTGAGGGCATTATGCTAAGTGAAATAAGTCTGATAGGGAAACACAAGTATCTCATTTACATGTGGCATCTTAAGAAAAAGACAAACTAGTGAACTAACTAATAAAGAAAACAGACTACTGGTGGCTAGAAGTGAAGGGTGAGGGTAAGCAAAATGAAGGTAAAATGTAAAAACTTCTATTCATGAAATAAATAAGTCATGAGGATGGTGACTATAGTTAATGATGCTATATTACCTGTTTTGAAAATTGATAAAACAATAGATTTAAACAATTATCTCAAGAAAAATAAAATTAACTCTCTATGGTGATGAATGTTAACTAGACTTATTGTCATTTCATAATATATACAAATATCAAGTCACCTTGTTGTACACCTTAAACTAACATAATATTATATGCCAATTATATCTCAATTTCAAAAAGAAAATCAAGACTGGACTGTCTTAATCACAGAGAGCATGCTAAAAACAGACATGAGCTGGAGCAGCTGAGGCAGGAAGGAATTGGACTAGGGAGCATGTGATAGGTCTGTGAAGTCATTTTATTTCATCCTAAGTGTAAGTTGGGGTGAAGAACTCTCTGTCAACAGGATAAACTGATGTGGGCCAAGAGCCAAAGAAGGGAAACCATTAGGAAGAATCAGGAATCTGATTTCATTCTACAGAAAACTTAGCAGTGCCTCAATATTCACTTAGCAACAAAATAAATACAATTTTAAGTTAGGGCTGATAAAATTTCCAACATTAAAGAATTTTGTTCTGCTGGCAACAAACATGATCTGTTTTTCTTAATATTATTTAAGTCTCTTCTTTTTCAAAACTATTTACCTTGTAATATGAAACATCAGCTTTGAGTTGGTTGTACAACCTGAAGTCATCTTCCTATCACATAGCAGGTTAAAAGCTATCACCTCCTTATTTAAAAATGTTAATATTAGTGAGGCTTGAGACACACTCTCTGTGAGATTATTTTTTTAATATTTATTTAATACTAATTATACTCAGTTACTACAATCTGGTACTAAATTGATGTGTATCTATTAGTTCCATTGTCCAAAAGCATCTGCTTACATTTACGTTTTCTATATGCTTTGCAAACGAAAAGAATAGAAACATTCTCAAAAATAAGTTAATAAAGTATAATTTTTAAATTATAAATAAAATTTCCACTACAAATTTTAGAAACAAAATCTGTCAAGTTTATGGGAGTTACTCCTTCCAAAGGAAAAAGTCAGAACTTCTGGATTTTGTTGTCTGTCAATTTTCCTCATATTCAAGTTTCTGATATTTTTGTACGTCTGAAAGGTAACAATTTCCAAATATAACTGGGAATTTTGTAGAGCAAATATCATTAAAATATTGTTGGTGCAGAAGCTAAGAAAGAGGAGAAGAAAGAGATCAGCGGAGTGAGAGGAGAGGAAAGATTTTAGACAGCAGTTCTAAAATTCCAACCTAAGACGCATGAATTAATGACAAGTTCAACTCCATCAAATTTAATAGACAAATTTAACCTACCATTTCGGCCATTTTGTTTTAGAGTATTTGCAGAAAGCTGGATAGTGCTTCCATGACCGGTGTTTTCTGGAAATTTCAGGTCTTCCAAGTTTCCTTCTGTGCTCAGCCTTGCAACTTCCAATTCTATTAATGGTAAAAAGATATCTGTACTCATTGAGAAACATGCCAAAGTTAAGATAATCTAATTACTGAAACTTTTCTTAAATCAAAACACTGGAACTGATCTTCAGCTGCTATACTTTATAGTAGTTCAGTGTTTTTAGAAATTCTTTTTTTTTAGTATTTCAATTTTTTTCAAAATAAAGCAAAAAAGTTATTAAAAATCAGATATGTAAGAATATCAATTATAAAGCTTAGAATTTAAAATTAAAGCTCAAGTACAGTTTGCCATTGACTATCAGGTTACTTTCAAAATGTTATCTTTATTTTATGAATTAAGTGAAATCTTTTTATAATCTGGAGCTCTACTATTATATAAATATTGATTTACCTTTAAATCTAATAAGTTTGAAATAACTTTACCAAATCTTCTGAAATAAAACTGTCAGCTATATCCTTAAACACACTAATTAGATTTATACTTTTTATGAGCTAGCAACACAATTATCAAAAATTATTTTAACACCTTGACTTAAATTACTAGCTTCTTTATAGTTTATAGTTCAGAGAGATTCTTGTTATAACTGAAGTGACCCATAGGATAAAATGTAAAATACTACCCTCCATAGATGGAAAATTATATGTATATATCAGTTTCATACATAAAAATTGAAAAAAAAAAAAAAAAGGGTCTCACTCTCCTTGATCTCAGGTCAGGCTAATATAGTCAGTATTAAAATGTCCTTGGAAAGATACATACATGATTATGAGGACACTTCTAAGCTAACAAGTGATACCCTCCTAAGTATAGAAAAAACAATAGCTTATCTCCCCTGAAATAAAGTACCACTCATAATATGTGGTCCACCATAAATGATACTTTTTTCTTTTCCCTCCTCTGCTGAACAAGATGATAGTTCTTTCTTGTCCTCTCTGGCCCTTCTGTATAACAAAAGCCACTTACGGATATTGTCCGTGTTCTCCCTGACAATGTCAGTCTTCAAAAGGTTATCGGCCAGCACAAAGGCACTTTCCTCCACGGTGTCAAGCAACATGGTGGCTGCCCGCAGTTGATCACTTGTAGTCAGGTCTCTCCAGGCATTCAAGGCTTGTGGCTGGAGGAGGTTGTTAACTGTCTCGACCATTGCCTACAAGAAGAAGAACAGAATGACAGTGGTCTCTAGTGGACCCACAGAGCTGGCAGAAATCCAGGCATACATGCTGCCCAGCAAGTAAGAATCATTGGTGTGCATGAGTGCAGTATTGTCCCAGCCTCCCCTGTGACATGCTGCAGTGGAAGCATTCATTATTTTGTGCTGTAAAATACTAGCTGAGACTTTGCAAGGCAACAGAAAAACCTGCCTTTTGTTCTGAAGGACAACAAATAGAGCTATGCTTCTTTCTTAAAATCAATAGCAAAGGCTTCAATAAGACTTTAATCACATAATTAAATTATTTGGCTGGGAAACTATTGGCAAGTAATTCAAACTAACACTTTCATCACATCACCACAAAAATGATTTCCTCTATATATCACCATAAAACTAGATGCTGAACATAATAGAAATCAAAAGGATGACTAAAGACAGGACAATACAAGAATTTGTTATGTATAGGTTAAGAACTCACTAAGCAAACCAATTTTTTTCTTAGCCAGCTTGTAAAATGTCAGGATGGGGAAAATATCAAAGCATACACACTCCCAGGGCTTTGGAAGAGAAACGTTTGTGCTGTTTAGTACTAGGGAGGGGAGTAAACAGTTGGAGCTTGCTACCTATGGCCCTTGAGCATTTTTCCTTAAAAAAAAAAAATCAGCAGTAAGTACATTCACACGTAGAGATAAAGTACCAAGGTTCTCTCTGCTTCATCCAAAAGAATTGTCTTTCTAGTTACAATTTATGTATTTCCCACAGTTAGCTCAATACTCTGGGTTGCAAGAAAAGACAGTTCTCCCATTAAGGTCTTCCTAAGATTTCACTCAAACATAGAGAATTGCACAACAGAAAAATACACCACCGGCAGTTTGAAAGTGATCTTCCTTGAACCTGTTGATTATGAAATATGCATCTAATATGGAAATAAAGGTGAATAAACAGCAAACATAGGCACTTTCCAGGCAGTACATTGGTGTTCTAAAACAGGACACACAGTATTGATACCTTGGGAGAGGGAGTGGGAGAGACTGGGGGAATGAATACTCATTAAATTGCATGTTTTCTTCTGGCTGGTGTTTTCAGAGTAACCAAGTAACAACTGTTAAAAATTCAGCTTCATAATGAAACACCTTGTTGCCAATTAACACCAGCTTCAAAAACTAATCTGCCTTTTGATAGAAGTTGTTCTTGATATTTTTCCCAGCTCTTCCAAGTTCTGGCTAAAAATCAACATCATTGGATTTTTACATAAAATAGTTCTACTTGCAAGTTGAGTACTTTGCATTGTTAAAAAAAAGAAGTCTCTCATGAGTTTAATGACTGAGTATTTCCACATAGTATGCTTAGTTCTCTCATTTGTTCTGTGTTTAAAACATGACCTAGAAACCAGACAAAAGAATTCCTGGATCACAACAATCTCATGCTTTCCAGGAAGTTCTCTATGGGGTAATGCCAACAGGACATGCCAAAAAAAGGAGGTGCCAGATAGAAATCAAACAACAAAATAGTTTAGGTATTCTCTGAAGCCAAACAGAGGACAGTGACCTCTTGAGTGCAAGGAAGTATTCTTTCTGGGATTCACTGATGTTCTTAATTCATTAGAAGTGCTCTGAAAACCCCATAGGTGACAAAAATTATGCTGGTTCTTTATGGACCAACCATTTTAACATTAGTGAATCACCTTTCAGTGATTAAACCTTACCTCAGGGAACATTTTGGGGAGATAATGTAATGTTTCTGTTCTGCCCTCTATAGAATTTATTTTTTTTTTTAATTTAAAAATGCAAAAGGAAAAGAAGCAACTATAGTCAACTCTGAGATGTTCTAAATAGGAAATTGTTTACAAATGGAGTGCTTTAGCTAAAATACTGAGTCTTTAAATTGACAGTAAATACATCAGACACACCACTTATTATCTTAGTTTTGCAACTGAAAATGTAGAAGGTGCAATACTTTTTCATTATATATTTTGAGCATATTTTAACTGCTTCATCCCAAATAAGACAAGGTCTTTAGAGAAGTTTTCTATTAAAGCCTAAATGATTTCCAAGTTTATTGCAGAAATGGCAGGTCCTAAAATCTGGGTGGGTTAAGATACAAATCTAGTATCTATTTATTTTTAAAATAGCACCTGTTATGATTGCCTAAGTATAAAAGGAAATGTCAACACAAGAATTGAGACAGAATTCTCAGGTGCTAAAATCAGTGTGGGATTTGGAACCAGATCTGCTGAGTCTGCAATTATACTTTGCCACCTTACTAGTTGTGTGCTATTGGGCAAGTTTTTAAACTTTTTTTTTAATCTTCTGTAAATTAGAGATGATAATAAAATCATTTCATAAGGTTGCCTGGCTCATAACAAGTGTTTAGGTGTAATCCTATCTTTATTTTCATTTGATATCAAAGTTCAGTGTGGGAAGAAGAGAGGTATTCACTGAATAAAACACAAGTCATCCTTGATAATTGCAAAACATTCACACTGAAGTGAGATCTGGAAGGAATGCCTCTTCTACAATGCAGTCTCATAAGCAGAACTGATACACAACTTAACTACTATGGAGGAATGAGAGGAACATGTGTATTAGATAGTTCGTAATGTTCCCTGGTGGTACAGTGGATAAGAATCCACCTGCTATCGTACCAGACATGGGTTTGATCCCTGGTAAAGGAAGATTCTGCATGCCATGGAGCAATTAAGCCATGCACAACCACTGAGTCTAGAGCCCACAAACTGCAGCTGTGGAGCCCGTGTGCCACAACTACCGATGCCTGTGTGCCTTAGAGCCTGCGCTCCACAATAGGGGAATCCACCACAATGAGATACCCACGCTCTGCAGAGAAGACCAGCCCCCACTCACCACAACCAGAGAAAACCCACACATAGCAACAAAGACCAAATGCCAAAAAATAATAAAAATAAATGATTTTTAAAAAGAATTCACAATATATATTCTAGAGGCTTGAACTAACTGATCTGTTTTCTGCTAGTGAGACAGCGCAATTAAGTCAATTTTAATAGCTTTAATACAATTTGTGTAAGCTTTCCAAAGGTTGTTGACATGTTCCTGTTACCAGTTTCATGAAGACCAAATAAACAGTCACAAATATTCAATAGCAAAAGAACATCTATATTTCATTTTCCCTATATATTCATACATTTATACATTTACACACAAATGATGACATTTGGTAATAAAGCCTTCATTTTGGGGGGCATTTCTGGTCACACTAGTTATTGCATTGCTTTCACTACCTCAAAAACATCTCTTTAAAATACAAGTTGATTTTTCATTTTATTTGGTTGCAAAGAAATGAACTTAACTACAGTTTAGAACCAAAGTTGAACAGGAAATACACAATGAGTTTGATTAAAGTGAGGTAATGGGACATCACTTTATTGATCAATAGTTCTCATCATTTTCTCTTCTGCCATCATTTTTTAATTGACCGAACATCTATATTCTAAAGGTACAATAAATAAGACTAATTCTGAATAAATCTTAAAAGATATATTCTAACCACAATGCTTTTATTGAAAAGGGAAAAAAAATTACCTAATGGTTTTGACATTATAGACTGAAATAATTTAAAATTTGGGGATATTAATTTAATTAAAAATATCTTTGCCAGAAACTAAATGTTAATTCACCTTACTATGTTTTTCAAAACACAAGAAACTGAATAGGAGGTGGACCTGGGAATTTATTTTCTGGTTCTACCACACATTTTAGTGTGCCTTTGGGCAAATTGTTTTCTAACCAATTAACAAAGTGTGAACTGCATAAGAAAATAAGATGCATCATATTTCAATTTGAGGGTAGTTAGGGGCATTCTATATAAGATACTACTTTTCTTACTAAACAGTTTACAGACTAGACTCTAAAGTCACTTTTGCCTTCCTAAAAATCAAAAATAAATTAGGAAGTGTGAAAAGTCAGTTAGATTAATACCAGAGTTATGGACATCCCATATCCTTCCTGGTGGCTCAGACGGTAAAGCGTCTGCCTAAAATCCTGGAGACCCGGATTCAATCCCTGGGTTGGGAAGATCCTCTGGTGAAGAAAATGGCAACCCACTCCAGTACTCTTGCCTGGAAAATCCCATGGACGGAGGAGCCTGGTAGGCTACAGTCTATGAGGTCGCAAAGAGTTGGACACGACTGAGCGACTTCACTTTCACTTTCATATCTTTCCGGACATGTATTGGCATTGCACAATATCATCTGACCCCTGATCATTAAATTCAGATCTTAAGCAAATTCATCTGACTAATTTTACACTGAGCATTTAATTATAGTATGTTTGTTAAAAGATGTTTTAAACTGTTTAATCAAACTTCATATATTTCAAAAGGGGCGCTGTATTTATTTGTTGTAACTACTGTGAAATTTTGGTGAAAAATAGCTGTATATCTTTCCAATATCAATTTTCATCATTTTTTTTTTCCAGGAGAATGTGCTTGTGAAATAGTCTAAAATTCCTTAGCAAGAATACATAAAAGGGTCCATGGTGAGAAATATATCAATGGCATTTCTTACCAAGGTAAACTCTAAATCTTAAACTAGGTAAGCAAAATCACCTGGGAAACTTAGTCACCCTTCTTCCTTGCTTGATAACCATTAAAATAAAGATCCAAACAGAATGAATGCCTTTGAAAGGATATACAACTATACCATCATGGTATTTTTTTTGAAGACAAGTTTTTAATCATGATCTCATTCAGGTTTTAGCTCAGGTATCAGCTGCTGACATAGGTCTTCCATTAGCAGCATATCTAAGGCAAGTCACTCAAATCCATTATCTGTTTTGTCTTGTTTGTAACAGGTGTCATTATCTAAGGTGTGTGAGATATTTACCTACCTACAAAAATATTTAGCTGGTAGATCACTCACTCAAAAAAAGGTAAACTTCATGAAGGTGGTGATTGTGTCATTTGTAAGTGCCCCAAACTGCCTGGCACACAGTAAGTGTTCAATAACTCTTTGCTGAATTATT